GAAAGTCCTCTCTGAAAATCGTAATTTACCAATAGCTGGAAATGGGTACATATAAATATTATACGAACAAACAATAAGTACACTTTCTGTTATACTAATCACCGTTGTCGATATTCGTTCATTCGAAAATATTACCTTTTAGAGATACCATCCCATGGAGTCCGATTAAGCATAAATCGTATTTGATTTTGAATAGAGAACCTTGACCTATGAAACTAATTAAAGCTTCGCTCTTTATCATTGTCTGCGTTCGATGCATCGATTCATTGATCCTAATCACTCAATAGTGTACGATTAATCAGTCTACCATTAATACTAGCAACGAATGAATTTTAGGATCTACAGCCAGCGTAAATCCAAGTTAACGTTGTTTCCCAATTTCTGCAGTTAAACCATTGTACCACAGAAATACCGGAAGTAGCCACGAGTACAGCCCTTACGTATTCTCTGATATTGTAATAAACATCCTGCTGAGGCGCCATTAATTGTAGATGTTCGCAAGGTGGTCACGAGCCGTGCAAGAAGGTGAAATTTAGTGAGCCACTCTTGGAACCGTAGAGACCCCTAATGGCCATTCCGATGACTATGGTTCTCGACCACAGTGGCAGTTCCCTTCCGCCATCCCTCTGGTCTCCTCCGTAGCCACCCACTCCTCACCCTATCCGCTTCCCCACAGGGTTTCTAACTCGTTTTCTCCACCCTGTACTCGGCTACTCTTGCACTCTGCTCTCTCCCCCTCTCTCTCTCTCTCTCTCTCTCTCTCTCTCTCTCTCTCTCTCTCTCTCTCTCTCTCTCTCTCTCTCTCTCTCTCTCTCTCTCTCTCTCTCTCTCTCTCTCTCTCTCTCTCTCTCTCTCTCTCTCTCTCTCTCTCTCTCTCTCTCTCTCTCTCTCTCTCTCTCTCTCTCTCTCTCTCTCTCTCTCTCTCTCTCTCTCTCTCTCTCTCTCTCTCTCTCTCTCTCTCTCTCTCTCTCTCTCTCTCTCTCTCTCTCTCTCTCTCTCTCTCTCTCTCTCTCTCTCTCTCTCTCTCTCTCTCTCTCTCTCTCTCTCTCTCTCTCTCTCTCTCTCTCTCTCTCTCTCTCTCTCTCTCTCTCTCTCTCTCTCTCTCTCTCTCTCTCTCTCTCTCTCTCTCTCTCTCTCTCTCTCTCTCTCTCTCTCTCTCTCTCTCTCTCTCTCTCTCTCTCTCTCTCTCTCTCTCTCTCTCTCTCTCTGCCGTATATGCAACGGCGTTCCAACAATTACGCATCGTCGCAGTTAAATACAATGGCCAGGACAACGACTCTGTAATTTATCCCCGGTTTGGGCCACCATCCTGTGCGTTCGTTTCACAACGTTGGAAGAGAACACCGCCAACGCTTCGTTCTTCCCTCTTTCTCCTGCCTCCACTCTTCCTGTGACCGCCTCTGCCAGGTCCTCGCGCCGTTTTGCCCCGCGAACAACTACCAACCCCCACGGTTCTCCGCGCTTAAATTAATGATAATTAATAATGGCGACTTGTATGGACGCCGTTCGTCAGGCCTGAAATACGCGACCTCCGCGGCCTCACTCCCGTCTCGTTAGATATATCGGGAATATTAAAATTAATTCATTTCGCGTGGCATCGTAAATTGTTGAAATGACCATTCTGAAAGCTGGAATTGCGTGGATGTGTATTTTGTCTTGTTCTTTTAATTTCATTCGGATACTTTGCTCCATAAAGGGATTCATGATACAATTGATGTTTTTCGTTATAAGACCAAGTCCGGGATACAGATACCTCGTTAGTGGTATAAAAACAAACCATTCTGTAATGTAATGTGTAGTTAATATTTCGTATACTTGCGCTTGGTAAATGAGCCGAATGGTCTGTGCTGTAAACTGGAAATGACGATTAGTTAACGAAGCACGAGTTTATTACAATTCGTTCAAAATAAATTAGAAAGATAAGATAAGATAATAATCCGAATAGAGGATTAAGTATAATGAAAGAAAGAGTCTTGTAATAAAATTACGACGATGTTCCTCGCATTTAGTACATAGCAGATAATCGGTAAAATCGAATCTACCTTTAGTACACGAAAGTAGCGTAGCACGCAATTACGTCGGACAATGCAACGGGTTCGCGATAGAATTACCAATTAGGGATCGTCACGTTCAAATACAATAGCCAACGACGACGACTCAGTAATTTATCCCCGGTTTCGGCTACCATCCGCATACATATCCGTTTCCGTGTACCGGCAGACTGTGTGGTTGTGGATGCTGAACCTCATTGCCACCGATGCGTTCAAATTAATGACAATTAATAACATTCAACTTGTCCCTTTTATTCGACATTGGTTGTTAGACATATAAATTTCCGGCTTGTAGAACGTCAAATATATTAAACATTGTTAGCTACTGATGACAGAAGAGTAAGACTTACAGTAAAGAAATTAGAATGAAAGTAGCGAGAAAAACAAGCCTTTATCCGCGTACTAAACATATGAATTTAGAAAGTCATTCATTTGCTGTAAATTTGGAATTGTATAAAAAATTACGAATTTTTATCACTCTGACAATTCCGATATATTAAATATAAAGAATCATTTTCTTTTGCAAAAACAATAAAAAATATTGCAACACAGCATAATTATTCTAATTGAAAATATCGCAACACCATACCGGATCATGTCGATTATTTTTATGTCGAAATTTAGAGTAAAAAGTCCCGAATTCAAAATCTTCGTTATAAAATATCAAATCATTTTCTTTTGCAAAAACAATAAAAAATATTGCAATATAACATAATTATTCTAATTGAAAATATCATAACACCACACCAGATCATCTCGATTATTTTTATGTTGAAATTTATGGTAAAAAGTCCCGAATTCAAAATCTTCGTTATAAAATATCAAATCATTTTCTTTTGCAAAAACAATACATAATATTGCAATATAGCATAATTATTCTAATTGAAAATATCGTAACACCACACCGGATCATCTCGATTACTTTTATGTTGAAATTTATGGTAAAAAGTCCCGAATTCAAAATCTTCGTTATAAAATATCAAATCATTTTCTTTTGCAAAAACAATAAAAAATATTGCAATATAGCATAATTATTCTAATTGAAAATATCGCAACACCACACCGGATCATCTCGAATATTTTTATGTCTAAATTTATGGTAAAAAGTCCCGAATTCAAAATCTTCGTTATACGAATTATACGATTTATACGACGCCTTTATCATTATTTAGATCAAAAATTTCAAAAGGTACGTCGCTTTTATTGAGTTACATTTAAGTGACATAATAGCTTAACAGCGTATGAAGCAAGTACGTTAAGGTTGTGTGTTCCTTTGAGTATTCCCTTATATTGGAGATTCTTGTATTGGAACTTATTAACCCACGTGAAGGTGTATTGCTACTTCACCTAAAACTAAAAGGTTGTTTACGTTTATTTTTTTTTTATTACAATGTAACACTACAAAAGACGAATGGATCGTGACACGAAATCTTTGAAAGCAATGAAACAAGCAGCAGACAACGTAAACGGTAAAATAAAATTATGTAGAGTACCCAGGAAATATGAAATTTGTAAGAATTCCTTGAAAAGATTTATTGCAAGATATAAAGAATATCCAGATAAAGTTTCTTCGGATATGCATCGTCACGACAAATATTTTCGTTGAACAGTAAAACATTTTAACCGAGTATTTGTTAAATAGATTGTATTATTTGTTTTCAATGTAAGATGACGTATATCAATGTAAGATAAGTATAAAGAAATAATGCCAGTGTTTAAAAAGGATTTTTTTTTAGCTTTATTAGTTTTTAGTTTAAACCAAAAAGCTCTTACACGTATTTTTATTTTTTGTTCAAGCCGAACCTCTGTTCTGTATTTTCATTTTTTTCTTTAAGAAATCATACCGTAATATTTTCCGTCAATATTGTATACCAAAAAAAAGTTCACTAAATAAATATTTGTTAATACGAAAGGAGTTTTTTACCTATTTCCAGGGCAAAAAGCCCGTTCTATATCGACAAAGATTTAAAGTTTGCAAAAAGTGAGAGCATTAACCAATAAACTTTATAAAAATAAAGTATAATGGTATTAAATAATCAAATACTTTAATACAAGAAACAAATATATCTCTATATTGTTATTACAAAATTGTACACAAGTTTATACGAAAAGCCGTAGTTTGAGCCCCATCCTATCCTACGTATAAATAAAAAAAGACATTTAGAAAATAATCAGAACCGTAATTAAAACACAAACGTTATTAATTAAAGTAGAGATATCTATAATGAAGAAAAATAGCTTCTAAGGAAGGATAGCGATATTTTAATAGCAGCGAATGTATTAGACATTCTTTAAGGAAGAAAAAATGTACCTTCGTAAATCTGTTCGCGGGCAGCCACGTATGGCAGCTACTAACAGGTGCACATATCGCTTATCCCATGTCGATCGGCAGCGACATGTGCGCGAATGCGTTTGAGCTAGTCGCGCACTGTCATCCTCGCCACGTTCCATTTGTCGGTTGCGCTCGGAATACCGGGTGGCTCGTTAATTTAGGATCAATTATCGCGTCACGCCGCGCCGCACCGTTGCACTGAGAACGAGGCGCGTCCATGGCGACCATATACACAGACGGCGTCTCTTCCACGATCCGCATACTTTTCGGCCACGTAAATTTTACTAATTGCTCTGGTCCGCTTTCATTTTGAAATCGTTCGACCATAAACGATCCTGTTTTTCCTTTTTCTTTTTTTCTTTTTAATAATTATCCACTACGTAGAGTGGCAAACTATATTTAAATTCACGTTCCATTAGTAGAGGTGAATATTTATTTAATTAATTGTTCCGAATATTGGAAGAGAAATTTTTCGTCATTATTAAAAACAGATTACGATGGAAAATAATATCTCAGATTTCAGAAGTTGTAAAGTGAATCTGAAATCGTGCAAGATATCCAAGGACAGGAGAATAATGTAGAAACAGCTCGCATATATACATATATATACACATATATCTATTTAATTCGATTTAATCGGTGGCAACATGTAAGCGGGTTACATAGATTATATCGACCACATATTGTGAGACACCGGTATATATCTACCATATACGCATACTTTCCAAGTATGTCTACACGAACATGAGATATAAGTATATTTAGAGAAAGATCTATATAGATCCTATGTAGACTGGTACGATAATTAGGAATATACAGTGTGAGATCGTTTCTGTATTCACGCGACCGTGTGCAGCTCCGCACATACACAATAATATAATCTTCGCGCGGCAATTAAAGATTATCTCGTATCATACATATACACATTACGATCACTTGTATTTACAATTATGTACAAGGCAAATAAATAATTTAAGCATCTAATCGATAAGGATCGTACCGAAGTCAGTGTACTAGAATCGTATCTATGCCGATATACGTACATATAGTCGATAAATATAAAGGTTCAGTCTGCGGCCATACGATCATACGAAAAACGAACGTCGATCTTGCTCCACTTCTCTCTCTCTCTCTCTCTCTCTCTCTCTCTCTCTCTCACTCTTTCTCCCTTTCTGTCTGTATTTCTGGTATATAAATCGCTCAAGATTTCACCGTTTCAAGATTCATAACTGCAGCTACGTCTAAACTAGAGTAGAAAATTATTTGGTAATCGCTTAATGTAGCTATATAGAAGTAGATCAGGATCCTATCGCTCTGACCGACGATAAATATTGTCGTGGACCGTTTAAAATATCTTTAAACACGTGTTTCCTACCTCCATTTCAGTTAAACTCTTCCGTAAGAAATTCGGCGACTTTAGAACACGCAATCGTTTTCGAATCGTCCTTTCCAGACATTTTTAACTACTTCCGTCGGGTTAGAACGTTGGTGTAAAGCGGCGAGCGGATTGTTCGGTTATCGTACGAGTAAAATTTCTTACGAGTGCAACAACAACCTTTTTGACGACACGTTACTCGTCATTAGTGCGAATGATTGCTTCCAGTCACGATTTCCTCGCCGTCCTCGTCAACGGGCACCGTCGAATGATTGTACAGACCTTGGGCCATCAATTGAAGAGCTAGCGGATTTTTCTGGCCGCTGGCCTTCTTGATTTTTGCCCTTTTGTTCTGGAACCAGATCTTGATCTGCGCCTCGTTTAAGCCCAGATCTCGAGAGAGCTGCTGCCGCCTTCTCTCGGTTAGGTATCGATTTTCCGTGAATTCCCTCTTCAGCCTAGCCAGTTGCTCCGCGCTGAATGCGGTCCGTGGTCTTTTCTCTTCCGGCGACCCGCTCTTTCCGTTGTTTTGCGATCGTTTCACTCTCCTCGTTCGTGGTCCTGAAACGAAACGGTTAATTGCTCGTTAATTTTAATTTCATTCGATAGCGTGATTGTTTTGAATTTTCATTGAGCTGTAAGTAAAGCATACGAACATTGACGTTTTGCTTCGAATCTTCATTCTACTGTAAATAAACTCACTGGAATTAGCATATGATGGAATTTCTAACGCCAAACTCGCTCGAGTTACACGGTGCGATCGCTATCCGTAAATCCTGCTTCAATAAGCGACGCATTCACGTTGATTATCAGAAGCTTGCACGTCGAAGAAATCGGTGATTCGGTAGAGAATGTTGACTAATCCTCCGTTGGACAGATACGTAGAGAGTAATGAAGCGAGAAAGAATAAATTCTTTTTGGACCTTTAGATCGGAGATTATAATTTCATGTCACGTGTAAATTAATCTAGCGATCTAACCTGCTATCGTGTTTTTGTAACGTTTAGAAGAATTATTGGAAACACTGCTGACAGCTACTGAATATTCATAGGGCAACTTATCAATAAATACTACATTAACAGGAGAGTAAACTAAGATTTCTAGTAAAACAAATCGTTTAAGAATTCAGATTTCTTTAAAGGAATAGAAATACGTGTTTTCGAAGTTATCCAGCAAGGTTTCTAATGAATTGCCTTCAAAATTTTAGCACTGACATGTTAACTAACCTTTTCCAACTCATTCGTTGATCAAAGATTTCTACAATCACAAAGTTGAAAGTTGATAAAGACAAATCAATTTCAGTTAAATCAGTGTCAAACCTTACGCTCTTGACACTAGAACTACCGATAGTTAACAGGGAGCTATTTCTACCAAAAATAGTGAAAATGACTAGTCTTTAAAAAATACGCAATAATAGAATATTTTTATATTTACAGATTTATGACTTTCTTACAGAAGGAAGTTCACGTTATGTAGTAAATTTTTGATATTATTAATCCACCTGGGACCATAATCCCTAAACGAGGCTTGACACATTTATAAAATTGTAGAATTAGTTATTTTGACTGCTGTGGTATTTCTAGTGTTAGCATCTAGCGATCGATCATCATATCGAATGATACGCGATAAAAATTTTAAAAACGTGTGGCAAGTCGTACAAAACGAGGAAACTAGCTAATTGAGGTTCGATAAACAGATTGTAGGATTCATTTACACTTTAACAAGTACCAGTCATTTTGACTGGTATTGGTATAAGTAGCCTTAATATAAAATTATTTTGAGTTTGAACACATAAAAGACAAAATAAAATTCATTATATTATTCTTGGTGGTTCTAGTATTAAATACAATTTATTCTTAACAGTAGCCAAACGAAATAACGCCTAAAAAATATATCTAAAATTCGTAAATAAAGGCAAATTGTTACCTATATTCAGGAAATTGAAAATTTAAACTACGAGTTAATTCATTTTTCTACATTAAATTGGAATTGTAGAATTTCTAAATAAAAAGATTATTAGACATATTCAAAAAACTAAGAATCCGAGCGACGTGTTAATTCGTCTTACCATGTTAACATCTACTAGAAATTATTCTACTGAAAAGTTTTGTTAAGTTGTTGCGTATTAACACCGTTCCGATAAAATTCCCAAATAAACTAACCGTTTAACCGAAAAACGCACGAATGTTAACAAGTGAACACGTGTTTCCGTGTTAATATTTTTTAGTTTCATTCCATTGAAACTATCAAACAGGAAGAAATAAAAAAATTCTCGAGCCAACTCGTCTTCCAAGTTTAACATATTTTGCTTCCGTCGATTTCCTCAAAGTATCTCAACTAATGTCACTCCAATTCGAAGTAACATGCGTGCAACGATAAGCACCAGCTAAAATAGCTCGATTAAAATCTACCATCGGCCATCGATCACTCTTCAGCGTCGAACACCATTTAATTAACCGCAGAACCAGCCGGTATCAAGAAACGGAACATCGATCACGATTTACGGTAATTAGTAACCGCGATTATCGGGTGGTAGGGTCGCGGACCACCCTGTTGACTAGATAGAAGTCGCATATCTGGGACACGATGGTCGCAGATGGTAGATCGCGGTTATAGGTTCAGAAGAACCAAGAGTTCTGTGAACTGACACAGGTGGTGTATTCAAAGCTGTACGTTCACCCTGAGCTGAAACTGCAATTATACATAAAGTATGCAGTCTGGTAGTTCGGTACCGATCGGTTCCTTCTAAGACTAGGTCTAAACTAGTATTTCTTTATAGAATCCGATCGCGTTACACCGGAGGAAACTGTAATTAGGGGAACTTTATGTAGCGTTTTCCACGACGTGCCGGGAAACCCGCGTTCATTTACATAGAAACTGGTTTGCAGATGTAACGGTCACCGAACGTAAATTGATTAAGCCGATACACAGAGAAATAGTGGTACCAGAGTGGCGAGCTATGGCTGGTTAGTTGCGTTCCTCCGCTTCCGTGATACCCACGATTAACTGAGATATATCTCTCTCGATACAGATTGGGTCGTGGGATCTTGATTAATCTTGCGTATTAATCCCAGTGGGACCACCCTGTCATCTTTCAGTTTCGCGTCTCGCGTATATTAAAGTTACGTATTAATTTTTCTCATACTCGAATCGATGTGATCGATGGTAAAAATCTCTTATTGTTAGCAATAGTGTTAAATATTATCGTTGCTGATAAAATCGAAGAACTGAACGAACGTACAAAAGTTATTTACGTAGATTCTTGTAAATTCTTAGAAATTGTTCGAAGTATAAATTTCGTTTTGGTAAGCCATCCGTGTGAAATGAACGTTGTTACATTTGATATTTCGATGAAATTATTATGAAAAATATCTTTACAATGCTTATGTATTTCTGTGAATATGAAAGTTTGTCTTCAAAAAATTCAGATTCGAAATAACTGACAATCCTACCGGATGAAGGTCTGTCCGAGTATCTGGTACAATAAACCCACGCAGGCCAAGGACTCTGTCCATTGAGTCCAGTTTGGTTGGTGGTGGTGCTGTTCGCATTTCCGGCACTGCTGTCTCCGCTTAAGGAGTCGCTGCCGATGGTAGAGGACGTGGAACCCAGGGAAGGTGCTCCAGTTACGGAACTTCCGGTGACGGAACTTCTGCTACTCGCTAGGCTTTCGAGACTTCCGCTTCTGCTGAGACCAGTGTTCCTCTGAAGGGGTGACGTCAGCCCACAGTGAGAAGAAAACAGATCCCTTTCTCTGTGCACGGAAAAATTGCCAGGCTGAGGCCTCGTGGGCGACAATCGATTGGACGATAGAGTCAGATCACGTGGCAAAGAAAGAGGACTGTGACGAGGTATCGGAACAGGAATCGTCGTCGAGTGACCGGGCGCCAAAGTGGTTTGTTTCGGTGCTTTCGTGTTGAGAATCGCCTCTCGTCCAAAATCTGGTCTCAGTATGTTTACCACGCTGAATCTCAACGGTGCCTCGATGTCGTCTTTGTGATCTGCTTGCTGATCCTGGCGAGAAACCACGTGACTTTCGGGTGAACGCACTCGATGATGGTGATGATGATGATGATGATGATGATGATGATGATGGCTGCCAATTCCCAGTCGAAGACCGTACGCGGAATCCATTGTCACGAGAGCTACGCTCATCTTTCGATCTTCCGAATCGTCTGTCACGTATACGATTCAAATGTAAATGTCAGCCGTGACAGTTGAACGGTGAAATTTCAACCGTAACGTTAACCCTCTGCCGTCATATTTGTGAAAGTGCACAGAGCCACACTTGTCGCGTATCTAGTCTGTCAGAGCTCAGAGTTCACTGGTTCAAGACACTGACTCACTGTTTCATATCTCGCTCGTTAAAGTTTCCCTTGGGATCACCGCACGCGTCACTGTACTTTCTTCACTGATCATTCATTGATCACATTCAGCCGTTCGTGCCACTTACAACGTCTTAAAACTTCTGTTCCCGCGTATTGCGTAATATTCGTCGGCGGATGTTGCGTGGTATTGCGCGCTCACGTGACAGGCTCATCTAGCCGCGAACATTGTCGCGTCGAACGTTGCTGTTGTCCGAAGCGAGATGAAAGGTTCGACTCTGGATCAGCTCCAAGAGCTGCAAGTCTCCTTAGTATTGGCTTTTCTCGAGGTTTCCGAGGACTCGAGCGAGTGCTGTGACGGGTCTGACTGGCTGTCCATCCGTCGCTCAGTGATGTCTAAACTAGGGGACCTGTGGTCCCTACTTACCGCTTTCCCCTCCGACCCCCTCGCCCCTTCACTCCTCCTACGCCCCAGTCTGGAGTGCAGTGCACTAGACACCCTCGATTGTATCTCTATTAACTCTTCAGTCACAAGCTCCGCCCACTGGCGTAAGGTCTACCCTACTCCCCTCCGTTTGCTCGCCCCCCTCCACCGGCAGTGGCACGAAGAGTGGGGAGCTGGAGTTCACTACGATCGATGCCACTGCATCGTTCCAGTCTCGTTTCAACGGCGACCAGATTTTTGTCTTACTTATAACCGTTTTTTTTCCTTCTCTTCTACGTATAGCTACTTTGGGAAAAATATGTTGTCAAGTTCTTCCGAGGCACGACTTTCCTTCTACGTCGATGAAATACTCGTCCATTTTCGGAAGGAATTATACAAAGTAAAAGCATCGTTACTTAAGATAGTATTTACCAGGCTTTACCTTCTTTTCAATACGTTTTTTAAATACGAGGAACGAAGAACTGTAATTACAGTTCGTGTACACGTTAGCATACACGTGTTAATTGCAATTCGCGAACGGTGTACAATATTCGTAATGTTTCCAAGTAATTTGGCAATGCTTCTCCAAAAAACAAAGATATCCGCGCCACTGCGAATACCAGTAAGAGCGCCAGCTTCTCCCCGCCCCGTTTCGTTCCCCCACCCTTCATCCTCAGGCAAGATCTTGCCCACAATCTTGCCCCTCCCCGGCTAGCCACGCCCTCCGATCCTCCTCTCCTGTTTTTCGATGCCCACTACTCCATACTTTTGTTCCTCCCCACCCCAGTTTTCTATCCGGAGGCAGCTAATTCATTTCTTTGAGTCGACAGGCGTTTTCTCACTGACGTGAATTTTATCGTTCGACGTCGAAATCGCTTTATACAAAAATTTACAAGAGCATCCACATCGAACCAACCACTTCTCGCCATTGCTCTTCTTCTTTTTCGTTGGATCCCCGTGACGGTTAACGAACAAATGTATTACCCGTGATGCAGATGCTGATCCACAGTTTCTCTCTCGTGCTCATCTTTTTCTTGTCTCTCTTTCGCTTCGGTTTACGCGCGCCGATTGATTGTTTGTTTAAGGGCGGGCACAACATGGTTCATCGACCAATCCGCGTACATTACGACTTACTTCTAGGAATTTGTGCCCATTCGCCCCTTATCGTTTCTGTCAAGTGTGATAAAATGAAAAAATTCTCAAGTTACTCGATTGCGGTCGTACCTATTCGTAAACCCATCGCGAAAAACATTGTTTCTCCACTGTAATTTTTAACATCGGTAAACAAACGTTTATCGTTTAAGTGAGATCTAAATCGTTATGATTGCGGTATCTGTCGCGGACACTCTGCTGGCGTAATTAACTTCATTAGAAATAGCGACGACACACTCGACCATTAACCAGTAAAGAGAAAATTACAGTCATTAACCCTTTTAACGTCTAATCGCATGAGATTCTGCTGTTCTGGTGGAAACGTTATTTGCCCACGACATGAAACGAGCCAACCTATACATTAGGAGCACGCGAGACTTCTAAGGAGCCGTCGTTAAAATCGTGCCAATTAAAGCCCGTAAGAAAACGTGATTCCCCCACGTCACGTGCGAACCGATACATTATCGAATCGTAATTAACGAAAATTCGGAAATTTAACCGGATGTTAATAAATAATCTCGCAACTAATTTAGAAATAAACTTTTGTACCGCTGATAATCACGGACATTGTAATTATTGCGTAAAATGGAAACGTTAATTCGACGGAATAAACGTGGCTATTGGAAAAAACGTGGAATGGAACATTTTACAAGATAGCAGGTCACATAATAGGTAATGCTAGCGAAGATAATGATGATAATCGGCGGTTCTCGATTGTAACTGAACGAAGAAATACTGTAATCGCGAAAAGTCGGCTCTTTACATGTCCATAAAATTTTCTACGTTACGCAACACCTGTTCTCCGTGAACGTGTTTACGAGCATAACACGTTTTCACCCGTGGCTTGCAAAATTATATTTCTAACCACGCCACGGTCGGGTTAGCCGAGGGAACAGAAGGCAATTCCTTTGTTTCGCCAGTCTGAAGTTGGCGAAGAAATTCTATGCTGTGGCTGTATGGTTGTTAAAGAGCATGGTTTTATTAATGACCACACCTAGGGATACCAGCTGCCACGTGAACCACAAAAGGATCGTTAGTTGCTAGTTAGATTCGTGTAAGAACAATAATAGAGATAGCCGCTATAAATAACCATAACGTGTCTATCCATCAATAGCGGCCTCGTCTGAGAATGGAGCACCGCTCTGCGCCACTTTCCACTTGGAACATTGCAGCGTTTGGAGGGGAGAGATCCTCTAAACTAGTTTCCAACACTGTCTTCCTTTGGTCTCTAAACCCGGTACACTGTTATTTGTCAAGGAGAGATCGATCGCTGTAAATTGATTTAACGATCGATCTAATGATTCGGCCACGAGAAAACGGTACTTTTTGTTAACAAAAAAAGTTGTATTTTCAGTCGATTCTATGTTTTACATGAAGTCGATATATAAGAATTAGAAAGTACCAGACAAAAAATAATGATACATATCGCAATTACAAAGGTTTTCTAAGGAATAGCATTTTGTTAATTCATTGCGTAGCCAAAATTCCAGCTGGAGCAGCGGGAAAAAAGAAGAGGCAAGGGTTTATCTACCTGAAAGTTTGACGCTGTCATCTGTCTGCGGGCTGATTGCCGTCCAAATGTATTCCAGCAAGAAGCGGATTCATCCGAGGGGGCAAGCGTGGTTAATTCGTTCGTTAGGAATACATACGTGAGCAGACGCGTCACTCGGAAGGACTGGCTGGTCGAAAAGAGAAAACGCCTAGGGCGAGACCAATCGCGACGTCTCGTACGTCAGGGATTGATTGGGTTTTTCGTTTGGCTTGCAAAAGAAAGAACGGGACGCGGGATCTTGCAGCGACGATCATTATTCCCCGAACGCGATTTGTAAACGGGTTCTATTTATGGCACTGCAAACTCTATAATCAGCCGCCGCAGGGGCGACGACTTATTTAGAATAATTAATGTTGGTACGACCTCACGAACCGGTTGCCGGCCAATCGCGATAAAGGCCTCCCCACCACGCCGTCCATAGAGGGGAAGCGAGAGGCGTGGTCCAGCGTTGCGCCGCCCATAGCACTCGATCCACATGCAACTTGGCGTGCGAGTTCTTCGCTTTCCCCTCTTTCTCTCTCCCTTTCCCGGTATCGCCACTTTTTCGAGAGCCTCGCGATATTTTCTAGAGCAGAAGCGAACCTGCGCGTAGCCATGCGCGTCCGGACCAGATATCGCGCAACATTATTCGTCCGATCTCATGAAACTTTCGACACTAGTTTTTCTTCGGACAAATGTTTAAAAATTAGTGGACTACCAGATATCTTGCTCAGGTTATCATTTCGTTCTGTAACCAGTTACAAGGTGTTGAATTTTAAGTATCAACGATTATAATCGTGATAAGTTTTTTGTGGACGTAGAGTACAGTTGACAATTGAGAATTTTCTGGCAACCGATATCCCATTTATTTATCTACGACTATCGACGCTCATATTCTTACAAAGAAATATCTTCTTAATACACGATCACTCTAAAAGAGACGTAACATGGATTCAGAACTTCAAATTATCGTAATTCCACTCGTTCGAAGATTCGTCCCTATACACGAAGCATATCCAACCAGTGATCGGTGGAACCCTCCAACAGCCTGGCAAACGGCGTAACACGAACAATCGTTATACCGTGGGGTGGGGATAAGGATAATAAATGCGGTCGACGAATGCGGTGCGAATCGAAATAACTAGACGATCAATCGGGCTGATTGAAAGTATCCGACGGGCAAGCCTGTCGTACATCCACGAAAGTGCACTTCCCTCCTTCCCTTAATGCCAGACACACCCCTGCGCCACACGAGACACCATCGATGATTCCCCTAATCTCGTTTATAAACACTCGACGACCACTCCCACCTCCCCTGCTGCGGAGGGATGATACCATTGCTACCCTCGTGCAGGAGATACGTCGGTCGCTCATTTTCACGGCCTGTTACGCGTCCGGCGATCGCTCCAGTGTATTTATACTGAGATAATGCACACCCGGTACATGCGAAGATAACCGCACCCCTGGCATGCGGTATGTTGCTTATAAACCGTTCTAACGCGATGGGCAACCGCAAAGTGTACTGATTTATCGGCGGGGATGGTGATGAACGAGGAAATCGTGTCTCTCCCTCTTCAAGGAGAATTCAAAGCTTCTCCCTTATACGTGAATTTTGTTTCACGGAACCTGTGTCTTTCATACAATTTAGGTTACCGTTTGTAACTGTTTGTATGATAACACAGGTCTATGGTTACGGTGCATCCACGTTCCGATCAACCGTTGTAAAAATGATCTTAACAGGACGTGACAAAGAAAGATAGACATCTAGAGATTCTATTGGGTTGGCAACTAAATGATTGCGGATTTTGTCATGTAGCCTTGACCTCGCGCCTTTAGATTACCATTTATTTCGTTCCATGCAGAACTCCTTAAATGGTAAAATTGTTAATGACGCTGATGATGTAAAATCACATTTAATTCAGTTTCTCGCTGGCAAAAATCAGAAGTTTTATGAACATGGAACTATGACACTGCCTGAAAGATGGCAAAAGGTCATCGACAAAAACGGACAATACCTAATTGAATAAAGTTATATTTTTAAGTAAAAATTTTGATTTTTCTTCAATCACTTAGTTGTCAACTCAATGTTTTACAAAAGGATTTGTAGATCCTAGAACATGTATCATCTATAAAATCTCTATAAAGAATTGCCAATTAGAGTAGCGTTATAATCATTCATTATTTTGTCATTAGGCAGTAATGACAAAATCCGCAATCACTTAGTTGCCAGCCCAATAATATGCCTATGAGAGAGGCAGAGATGAGCGAGTTGTCCGAAAGCTTTTTTCCG